AGAAAATACCATCAATATTAAATTTCTTAAGTTTGTTATCTCCTGTATTCAGATTAGCAAACCAGAAATAATAAAAGATGAAAAGAAAAACACAAAGAACTATCCGAGTCCACAGAACCCACTGTGTGTCCTTAAGAAATTTAATCCCCTCAAGTACTCGAGGTTGCAGATTAATTCCTCCCAAGATAAAATGGATTAACCATTAAAGAAGTAACGGTACCTCAAAATTTCAATAATTTCAACGAACTCGAAATGACAACAACGAATCACACACACAGACACGATCGATCGATTTTGTTTTGTAAGAAATGTATGCAAGAGAAGGGAAGAATTCGATGCAGAAAAATGAGAGAAAGTCTCTCTATTTATAGCCAACAAAGGGTAAAGGTCACAACTCTTTGGAAAGAAGACAACCTTTCAGAAAGGTCACAACACTTTGAAAAAGACACAACCTTTCAACCGGTCACAACCCTTTAGAAATGACACAACCTTTCATACAGGTCACAACCCTTCGGCATAGTCACAACCCTTCAAGAGAGTCACAACACTTCATTTCCTGTTCACACCTTTAAAACCCAACGGTATTAAACAAGCATACTAGAGTCCAGTATGTTTGTTTTATAGGAGAAACCTTTTAAACTTTATTGCAGTGTAGGGAAGAATAACTAAGTTAATTAACTTCTCTTCAGAAGTAAAATTTACCTTTGGGATCAGTGCTGGAAGTGGAACAAATAAATCTATTGCTGCTATCGGTTAAACATCGACCTCCTCCATAGTAACATTTACTACAATCATCAGACAGGCTCCACTGAATTGAAAAATTCCCAGTTAACAGATCAAACAAGCTACTATTCGAAGCGTTTGACTGTGAAGTGTTCCATCTAATTGGCAATTGAATCGGTGAACAGCTGTCCGGAATATCTCCCTCTGGTGCATCTGAGGAACCTACCCGTCCTCTACTAGGATACTTGTAGTATATACTAAAGCCACTACATTTAGTATAATTCAGATATTCGCGAAAATAATTATCACTCATGCTTCTGTTGATATCTAAACTGTTGTTGCATCTAAACAAAGTAAGATTTCGTTCATTGATTCTAAACGAGATAGAAGGAGAACTTGGAAACAATATACTTCTATCGAAAGATCCACAACTGTTATTCGCCAATAATTCCTCAAGTCTATGGTCTAAAACTCGAAAACCATCGAAGTTTCGTTGTCCCAGAACACTATAAACATTTTCTCCGAAATGAATTGTTGGATTGGGAGTAACATCACAATCTATACTGTACAATCCACAATCAGGTTGTGAAGATACAGAAAAAGGAAAACTCACATTTCCAAGATTCCCACACTCGAATTCATCAACACAACTACTATTATTTTGAATTTGATTCTGCGCTACAACTGAACCAAACATCACCATTTGATACGAAATCAAGAAAATTGACAAAGAATTTAATGAAAACATACTAAATTGTATACTATAATATAAAATATAGTTTTTTCTGCATTTATGTATAGTTATATTTTTGTTGTGCACCACATATTTGTATGTATCCTCATCCGTTTAACACGTTAGTTGACTTGGAATTTTAACTCTTATGACTACTTTAAGAAAGAGTCAAGAAGGTGGGCTGAAACATTGAAAGACAACCCCGATTTTTGACTACTTATTTTTTCGTCCAATTGTCTATTTCATATTCGCTATTCAAAAGCATGACTTCACATTATTTTAAATCATTTAATGTTCGTTTCACTGAAAAAAATTATGTTGCTTAGGAATTTTTGAGTTTCAACTATTTGTCACTAATCGTGGTAGAATAAAACACAAGTGTCCTGTGATTTTGGTTTTTCAGGTTATAAATGCAGAAGTAATAATGTTTTATTACTATAATACTAGTATTTTATAGTGGCTTCAGAATTACACTATAAAATATTTTTTATTTGTAATTTTTTTTATGTTATGCTTGATGATTATGATATTTTTTTAATCAAAAAATAATATTTTTTATTGAAATGAATTTTTTACAACATTTTATTAATATAATGTTTGATTTCATAGGCACATTCAGATATTGAAAACAAACATTAATCATTCATTGTTCAGATTTGGAGACCACATCTTAATATTCAGATGTGTATTCAGATCTAGACACCTAACTCTTAATGCAAATCTTAATATTTAGACGTGCATTCAGATTTAGAGGTCTTAATCTTAATGAAAACAAATGAGGCCTAAATGTAGTTCACTAACCTTGCAGAAAAAATCAATGGCCAAACATGTAGAAATTTTATTATTGCAACACCAACATAAAATCAATGAAGAACTAATAAAAATTTTACTAGCCAAAAATTAAAGTACTACTCACCAACTCTTTTATGACCGTGGTGTCTGGCTAACTTACATGCATCTCGACTATTTCACTAGTAAATTTCATGAAAGTTTACTGCTATAGAAGTGTAAAAATTCATAGATAGTAACAAAATTCAAAGGACAAGAAACTATAAGAGTAATACCACAACTAATAGTAAAACTAATAGTATAGGAGAATAAGAGAAACAATGCTCTATCCAACTAACGTCTTATCCTAATTCGTGTCTCATAGCGACAAAAAAATTGACTTATCCTTGAATTATGTGAAACGAAATAAATTTGTCTTCGGCTAATAATTGACATTAAATGTGTCTTTTGCATTATTAGTTAGGGTTAATTTGTTCTTGAACTAAACAAAATTGTCCAAGTTTGCTTTTATTTTTAACCTATTTTAAAGAAAAGAACAAGGACAAATCTAACCATTTTGCATAATGTAAGGATAAATTTGATCCTTTCACATAGTTCAAGAGTAAATTTTGATCCTTCCTCTTAGTTGAGTTTTTAAATTTTTTGTGTTCCTTAAATCAAGAACATATTGATAACCGTTTCTCTACCTCTTCTAAGATAAAAGTTACCTTATAAGATAGAAATAAGATTTATGTATATTCTACTCTCTTCGAAGCCCACTTTTATGTAGAAATAATTCACAAACTAGAGAAAATAAGCTAAAATTAGTTATTTCATATGAGATTTAAGTACATTCTACTCTCTTCATAGCCCCTTTTTACGTACAAATAATTCACGAACTAGAGAAAATAAGCTAAAGTTAGCTATTTCATATATTCATTCGGGGAAGCGCTTTCTATCAAAGATTTTTTCATACTCTAAATTCGACATCACATATATAAACAAAAAGGAAGGGTGATGGCAGAACATCTTGCACCCTATTAAGGAAGAACATGAGTTTAAGGATTGCTTTCCAGACGAGGAAATAACTGTCACGAAAAATGAGCTGAAAGCCACTTGACTGTAAAGAGAGGAGGGCATGGAAATTTGACTATGATGGCACGACTAATCAAAATGGGTACGGAGTAGGGGCATTGTTGATTGCACCTGATAAATCTTATTTCAAAGAAATCTCTGGAGTTTTCCCTTATCCGAACGGATCCACCAAACGACAGGAATGATCAGAGAGGGGCCTCAACTGCTTCTAATTGGGAAGCCCGTTCCGACCGCTTTTGCTATTACCGAAGCTTTTAAGAAAAATACTTCTTTTAGAAGCTAGGAGATCTTTATTTTTAGACTTTTTTTTCCATACAGAGGAGCAGCCCATCCAATGCACCACATCCGTTTGTGATATATTTGTTCAAATTTGACCCTTCCATATTTGTATAAAATTCAATTTCTTTCCCAAAATACCCTTTTGGTAATTGATTTTTCGAATTCAGAAGCAAATCAAAACTCGTCTTTTAAGCTTTAGCGCTCTCCTTCTCTCTCTCTCTCTCTCTCTCACACACACACACACACTCTTCCTTTTGACATCCTGTAAATTTTCCTCAAAACCCTAATTTTCTCCCTTTCCCAACATCAATTATCAATTCAAAATCCTTTTGTTAGATCTCTTGGTCCATTTTCCAGCTATTTTTTCCATTTTTTGTTAGCATTAATCCCAAGAAGATGAAAAGACGATCCAATTCTTTGAATTCCGTGAAAAATCTTCATAATTCCCCTCTATTCCTTCTCAAACTTTGATGGGTTTGTGACTTTTCACAGAAAGATTGATTTTTTAATTGTTTTGTGTGTGTATAAGTTTCCTCTGCCTGTATATTTGCAGACAAGAAAGCTATTTGAGTGATACACTGCAAGTAATTTGAAAAAAAAAAAGGTTCTAGAATTAGGGGAGGAAGAAATTGTGCTTATGGCTGGTTCGAAAATGGAGGGGTCATCAGCTCCAGCTGTAAGGAGAGACCCATATGAGGTATTGTCTGTAGCAAGGGATTCATCTGATCAAGAGATTAAAAGTGCTTACAGAAAGCTTGCACTCAAGTAAGTCATCCTCATGTTACTCGAAAGAGTTTTGTTTTATGGTTATTGTGGTTGGTTTAATTGGGGTTGATCTGTTTGGACAAATTATTTGGTGTTGGAATGTTATAGACTCAATTTGAGCTGTGAAATGGACTTGAATGGATTGGAATGAGTCTGCAGGGGATTATAATAGTTTTGGACAGAGGCTAAGTTGATTGATTGATTGAAGTTATACTATCGCTGTCGTAATGTTTTATATATGTACTTAAGTGTGATTACGAGGTGTAGTTGATTGGTTAATTGAGTTATTGTTGTGAGAATTGTGCATTATGTTCTTACATGTGGTGTACATAAACCAAAATGTGGCGTGTTGCTTTGCTATGTATTTAGTTAGACGTATCAAGCATTTTGAGGATATGGTTAGCTTTAGCATGGAACTCGTTATTAGCTATCCAAGAATTGAAGCTAGTAGTTTGAAGGTTGAGGTGGTGTGAGAATTGAGTAGTAGATAGATGATAGCTATGCTTGTGTAATAGTTTGTTGAAGTTATTAGTGGAACCTGGAGTTTCTTACATGGAAAGTTTAATTGTGATGGAATGATAGGTTGGGTCATAGAGGGAAGAATGGGTTTTAAGGGTGAAGATGTAGGGAAGTTTGTTGATTTCTTGCCTGCCTCTATGCATTAGATAAGCTTTTGTTTGATAAAGGGGGGAATTTCTTGATTTGAGATAGTCTCTTATACATTAGTTATTTTAGAAGAAAAAATCTCTTATACAGTAGCCATACACAATCTAAATTATTGGCAGGTATCATCCTGACAAGAATGCTAACAATACCTGAAGCTTCAGAACTCTTCAAAGAGGTTGCATATTCCTATGGTGTTCTATCTGATCCAGAAAAAAGGAGGCAATATGATATGGCAGGTTTTGAGGTACTTTGTCCACATCCATTGTCAATTACATAATTTTCATGCAAAGTGGTTTTACTACTAGATTAATGACTTTAAGTAAATGTCTTTTTAATTATGTTTTGAGCTACTGTGTATTTATGGATTTTGTTAACTGTCTCAAACAAAAATGAAAATGGGTATCTGTTGTTCGATGTTTGACAGAAAACCTTGTGGGCCGTTCAAGAAATCAAATAAGATAAACACTAAATGTCCATTGTATCAAAATCATTTAATGAGAAGTCAAAATTACTAAGTTGCTTCCCTGTAATCTATAGACAAGTCCCAAGTACGTGCATTGCACGAATATTGCAATGACTTTAGAAATTTGGACCACATATTCTAATTTTTTTTGTTTAAACTATATACCTTACAATAGGAAATATGTTTGAACGTGATTTTATATAGCATTGTCCTATTGAGATTTAAATGTAGTTGCCGTAGTCAGTGTTCTTAAAGGCGAGCGCCTCTCGCCTTTGGCGACAAGGCGAGGCGAGGCGAGGGGTTTGCGCCTATTTCAGGCGAGGCGTGGCGAGATCAAAAAGGCGAGCCAAGGTGAGGGGTGACGTGGAATTGGCGATGTAATAGGCGTCGCCTTTTTTGTTTTTTTTTTTAAAGTCTGAATTTTAATAATTAAAAAGCTAAATAATCAAATTAGGGTTTTTTTTGGGTATTTTTTCAAACTTATGTCGCGACTGCTCCTTCTCATTTCGCGACTGGAGACTTGAAATCAATCCCTCGACTGGAATTAGAGTTCGCGACTGCTGCTGCTGCGATTGGAAACTTGAAGTCGACTGTCGTGACTGCTGCTGCTGCTCAGGGACTGCTTGAAGTCGACTGGAATCTCTCTTCTCTTCTTTTCTCGAATCAATCTCTCTTCTCTTCTTTTGCTCTGTTTTTAGTACTCTCTCAGTCCCTCTGTTTTTTATTGTGAAGACTGAAGTCTGATTTCTGAAGAAGAACTGAACTACTGAAGCCACTGCCCACTGCCCGCCTACATTTAAAAAAAAAAATCTTCTATAATTATTTCGGTTAATTGTAACTTTTGTGGGAGTACTTTTAATGGATATTTATATATGTTATGTTATTGCTATTGAAATTTTGGATATTTATATATGCAATTAAATATTTTTAATTTTTGGTATTAATTGGCGCCTCGATTCAAAAAGGCGAGCGCCTCGCCGCTCGCCTCGCCGCGTGGCGAGGCAGGCCCTTGTCGCCTTTTGTCGCCTCTCGCCGTCCAAAACACTGGCCGTAGTTGTATGTTATGGGATTACATTAGGAGTCTTTGATTTGTATCGTGTATGGATTAGGAAATCTTAAATGATCTATAAGCTCTCGGGATCCATGAGAAGTAGCTAAAGAACAAAATACAATTGAAGAAAAAAGTACCACTAATTAATCTTTTACCTTGTCAAAAACAAATCTTCTAATTGAATTAAGGCTTAGTCATTGTTAGTCTGTCACATTAAGTCTGGCGTTTGTCAGAAACTTTAGTTTGGTTAGAGATTTGTATGCCAGTATAGAGATAAACTTGAGATTTAGAGAACTTTTAGTATTAGAGAGCTCTTAGTTTTAGTTAACCCCAATAACTTTGGGATTGAGGTATAGTTATTGTATCATATTTTTTCATATAAAAGAAGTGGAGCAAATGTTTGGTCTAGACTTTTTGGAGCTGAACAAATCTTCTTTTTGTTCTGTCTGTTGGTGTGGGTGGGTTGGGGAGCTATAGGAAAACTCAGTGGAAGAATTTGAGAAGGTCAAAGATGGACTCAAGCTAATAATTTTGATGGCATTGGTTATCTTCCACTGCTATTATGAAATATTACAGTAGCTGGATTCCTGTGTTGGTGTTCTTTTTGCAATGATTTCTTTATGTATGCATGGATTTTAAAAGGTGGTTGCTCACACACTGAGACGCGTATACATGTACTCTCTCTAGTGGTACATGTATAGTTTCTTTTTTATGCCATTTTCAACTTTATCCAAATTGTCGTATTTAATTGTAATCAGGTATGATGGGCATGGTTTATGTATTAGACAGACTCCCAATTGACTAATACTTGTGGCAACTTTTAACTGATTATAGTTCCTAGATGCTCACGAGCATGTACTATTCGTCTTCCTCTGACATTTGATCTTGAAAATTCTAAGGCTATTGATGCTGAAGGAACAGATATGGAAATTGATTTGTCTAATCTTGGAACTGTCAACACAATGTTTGCAGCATTGTTCAGGTAATCATTGTACCAAACTTTGTTTTTCGAGTAAATTATTGGTGTTTGAATTTCCTTATCTCTCTTATAGCAAGTTGGGCGTTCCCATCAAAACGACTGTGTCTGCTAATGTTCTTGAAGAAGCTTTGAATGGAACTGTCACAATCCGCCCTCTTCCAATCGGGACATCACTTAGTGGAAAGGTAGCGTTTGATTTCCTCTTTCAATTAGCAGGATAAAACACATCAGCTGTATTAAGGTTTTTAGCTTGGTTTTGCTGCAGGTTGAAAAGCAAAGTGCCCATTTTTTCGGTGTAACGATTAGCAATGAACAAGCAGAGGCAGGGCTTGTAGTTAGAGTTACTTCAGCAGCTCAAAGCAAGTTTAAGGTACACTCCAGATCAATAGAATTTTTATGGTAGTTATTCGTCCTACTTTTATACTTCGTAAGCAATGCCGAGATATCTCATGTTTTTTGTGTTTTCTACCTTTCCATGACTTGAAATGTTAAAACTAAATTTTATATAATTTCAGCTACTGTATTTTGAACAAGATGCAAATGGAGGTTATGGCCTGGCTTTGCAGGTACCGCATTTTACAGTTTTTGGTTCCATTATGAATTCAAGATATTTTTAATTGATGTAGAGTTCTTAGTGATTTGAGGTGGCCAGGTAGTTGCTGATTCATCAAGCTTCTAATAAAAGCATTTATTTTGGTTTTGGAAATAAAACCAAATCAAGATATGTGTACTCTTCATTCCATACTCAATTTTGGGAGACATTTCGAGCATGTACAGACACAACTTTCTCTATGATTGTTGCTGGATTAGTAATCTATGCATTGAGGAAAGAAGCACCTATTCTTTTCTTAAAAGAAAAAAAAAAACAAATCAGAAAAGATGTTACAAATTCTCATAAAAAACAAATGAATTAGAAAACAACTCTCCTTAAATTGTAATGAAGTAATGTTCTTGAATTGCAACTTTAGGTCCTGTTTTGTTAAGCGCTTATCTTGATGTATCTCTATGGCTTTAATGAGATTTTCCTGGGATTTAAAGCTTAGTCTTGAGATATTTTTTGTTTTAAACTCTGGTTGAGAAATTAAAGCTTAGTCTTGGATTGCAATTTTTTTTGTTGTGACCAACATAACTTTTAACAACTACTACTAGGCCCTAGTTGCTTGCACTTATTAGGGGTTTGAATCTGAATGGTTTAGATTTCAGTCCATTAAGTGGTTTTTTGTTTTGTGTTTTAAAATATCTTAAATGGATTTAAATGGGTCTGGATGAATCAGATTTGTAATCAACTCTAACACCATGAAGATCTTAACTTTCACTTTTTTGTTAGCAAAAGTCATGCCCATATTTCTATATGTGAAGAACTTCACATCTCGACGAAATAAAAAAACCTTCATGTCTCTTGCATTTGCCGGAATCTTCTGAGGAACTGGCGACGTCAATTCTTGCTCTGGCAGCTATTTCTGGTGAAGTGGGCCACCGATGGAGATGTTCAATTGTTTGTTGTGGTTGAATTCGAATATATAGAACCAATCAAAGAGGGAGGAAGTAGTTGGGTCATCAGGTATACTGAGAAAGTATGGAGGAAAGCATCAGGGTGTTTCTGAAATGGGTTGGAGCTCCACTTTGTCATGGTGAAGTGGGATTAGGCATTTTCTGTCATAAAGGAGTCCTAGAAATGGTGAGGTTGGTTAATAGGTAGTAGGGACGATGGGAGGGAGTGAACAGGAGGGCTTTTCACGTAAGAGGAAGGATGAACTTGGATTGTTTGGTGGGGTGGATTTGAGGAAGAGATGCAGAGTATTTAGGATTCGTGGTGGAAGGGGGGTGGTTGGGTGATAACATGAAGATGAGAGATTTTGGAGAGATTTGTATTCTTTTGACATTTTAGGTTCTGTAAACTATAGTACAAATTAGCATTTTTGAGAATTAAAGGTTACTTATTAATAAATTTTATATATATATATATATATGTAAATATATAGTCTTAATTATTCAGTATTCAGTTTGGAGATAACATCTTAATATTTAGATGTGAATCCACTATCCAGATTCAGACAACATCTTAGTGTGTATCCAGATTCAGACATTTGAATCTTAATAAAAACAAATGACCCCTAAATCTCAACCAAACAAGTAGGGTTTGCTATATTGCTATACGAATTCTCACTGACCATATTTCTCAATTTAAATTCATCTCAGACCAATATATACGGAAAAAAAAAAAAGGAACCATGAACAAAGCTTACTTGGTTATCTAAGTTTCTAGCTATATGGCTCATGAGTCATCCTTATTTGCGGGCGTGGAAAGTTATGGTCAGGAGCCAGTGTAGTAGATGAGGCTGTATGTTTGTAAGATCTCAGTTCACTAAAGTATTGAATTGACAGTATGAATCAACTGCTTTGGAAAACTAGACCTCATTCTTGATGTTCGCTGATTTTGAAGCTCTTCACGGTCTGCAATCTGCATCAGCTGTGAGGCTTATATATTCGAGTGAACTCACTTGTGCAGAGCAGATACTGGACTTCTTATTCTTTATCTTCAGATATATAAGCTCAACATGCTCGTAACTAGATTAAATTTGCCTGCAAACCGTGTTTCTTTTTGTTACAGTTATCTTTCGAGTATTTCTTTTTGACTGTTAGTTCTGAACACACTGATTTGTGAGCAAGTGTATTGTATTTTAAATGGACATGTTGTGCCTGTCTAGTTTATTCTAACCAGGTAATTGACTGATCAATTTTTTCTTAATAAAAGTGTATTGTATTTTAAATGGACATGTTGTGCATGCCTAGTTTACTCTAACCAGGTAATTGACTTGATCAAAATTTTCTTAATGAACCTGATGAATTGTCATTGTATACAGGAAGATAGTGAGAAAACGGGTAAGGTAACGTCAGCAGGAATGTATTTCCTGCACTTTCAGGTGTACAGAATGGATTCAACTGTAAATGCGGTATGTGAATATCAACCAATTGGTCAAGTCCATTAATGCAGTGTAGTCAGAACTAATAAATAATTTGAAATATTGTAGTTAGCAATGGCTAAGGACCCTGAAGCTGCTTTCTTTAAGAAGCTGGAGGGCCTTCAACCTTGTGAGGTCTCAGAACTAAAAGCTGGCACTCACATATTCGCTGTTTATGGTTGGAGCTACTTATATTGCTGAATACTTGTTTTTTGTTGCTGCAAAACACCTTCTAATTCCCGATTGATTGTCCAATGCTAAATTCTGAAGGATGAATTTTGATCTGATTTCTGCAGGAGATAATTTCTTTAAGCCAGCTACTTATATAATTGAGGCTCTTTGTGCCAAGTCATATGAGGATACTACTGTTAAGCTCAAGGAAATCGAGGCTCAGATTTTGAGGAAGAGAAATGAGCTTCGGCAGTTTGAAATCGAATATAGAAAGGTTTGCTTCTGGACAATATTTATGATCGGTGATAGATTGTTTCAGATATGCTCATTGTACTACTTTCCATGTGATGTTAACAGGCATTGGCACACTTCCAGGAAGTAACCAACAGATACAGCCAAGAGAAGCTGTCTGTAAGTTTCTGCTGCTAGTCTCATGGTCTAAATATCATTTTCATAAATGTGCTCGTATTGAGATGTTATGTCCAACTCATGATTTTCATCTAGTTCCCGATTCCCCTCGAAGTTCTTCAAGTTTATTTCTCATGAAAAAATTAGTGACTCGGGAATAGTTAATTAGAATTTAGAGCCATCATTAATGCGTCTCTTGATTGTTTAGACGCTACCTTGCTTTGTTCCTTCAATTACCTGATTGTTCCTTTGCACTGATTAAATACTTCTGTTTGTAAAGGTCGATGAGATGCTGAAACAAAGAGACAGCATCCACTCTTCATTCACAGTTTCAAGGTCAATTGCTAATCTAAGCGGCAGTGGAAGCGGGCATTTCAGTAATGGAAGTAGCAGTAAAGTCCTTGGCGAAGATTATAAAACCGATAGTCCAGGGGAAGATGGAAGCTCAGACTCCAAAGACAAGTCATCAAAGAAAAGATGGTTCAACCTTAACCTTAAAGGATCCGATAAAAAGAACTGAAAAGTCGACGATTATCTATGTTCTATACTTGATCCCAAATCAAACGCCAAGGGGGCAGGTATTGCGCTGCCGGAACAAGTCCCTTCATATATTCTTTGTTCTATTTGTTAGTTTGTGCTTTTACCAGATGCATTTTGTCTTTAGGGAAGTGATGTTTGGAATATATATTTATAGGTGGTGTTTTTTGTGTTTGTATGCATGATTCTTGTGATGTACCATAAAACTAGGCTGATCTTCAGCTGTCAATCCATATAAGATTATAGAATTAAGAAGGTGTTGTAATTTTAGTCTATGGACATGTTCTTTTTTTGGTTGGCATTGTGAAGTTGTAATATTTCAATGGTGGGAATCTCAATTCTTACAAAAAAGAAAAATTAACTTTTGTGAACTTTTATGCCTCTGTTTTTATTTCTCGAGTGTGTACGATATGAACTTTATGCCTCTATTTTTAGTGTTGCATACAAATATACAAAATTATAAACATTATAACATGACATTAACTATTAAAGTTGCGGTGTGGAAGATCATGGGAAAGGTCATGTAGGTGTGAGTTAATTACTAAAATAATGATAAGAATTACACCTAAGAATTATGTACATTCAATTTACAACAAGATTATGTTACTTCTTGTCCGTTTCAATTCACAATTATATTTTTTCATGTTTATCTTTAGCATTAAATACTCTTTTTTCAAATCATTTTCAAGATTTAACACTAAACATCATTTAATATGGTTAGTTTGATAAAATACCTATATCAACAATTTATTTTCCTAATGGATATGTCAAATTAAAATGTGACAAATAGAAGTGAACGAATGGAATAGTTCCGTACTAATTTTAACATACAAAATAACTCTCATTCTAACCAGCAATCAAACGACCCATTAACTACATTATTCTACAATCATGTTCTTCAAATATTTTTGTACTAACTATAAAATGAGAAAGTAATCCATTTCAATTTACATAATTTGAAACAACCAGCTAACAAACTTGTTAAACAGCAACAACATTACAAAAATAAATATAAATAAATAAACAGCAATATCTCCACAGCCATTAAAACCAATGTGGAGAAAAATAAATCAAATATAATATCATCACAAACCAACCTAAACCCAAACACCAAAAATTAAATTTTAAAAAAATTAAAATTTAAAACCATCAAAAAGATAAAATAAAATTTTAAAAAAGAAATAGAAAAAGGAAAACTCATTCTCTTGTGCTTCTTGAGCTAGCGAGCCGCTTAAAGGTTTGACAGAATTTAATAGCTTTACGTTTTGATTGAAAAATCATTTAGAAACCCAATAACCTTTTTTCCTTAGAATTTAAAGCTCCTAAATTTAAAATTCTAATTCCGACTTTGGTTCTGCTCTCATCAATTCTCAATCATTGCATTAAACTTCTCCAAAAATGATTCTTGTCTTTGCAATTTAATTTCTTCATAAAACCTTTCAATAAACTTCTCAGCTCTCTCATCAACCGAATCATCGTCATCGTTATCATCATCATCGTCGCCATGAAAATCTGTAAATTCTTCCATGGAACCTAATCTCTCCAACTCCAACACTGGGTACCTTCTCTTTTTTTCTTCTTCTTCGCCTTTCGCCATTCCCAAACATCTCGAAATAAAGAAAACAGAGCATATATCTCTGTAACTCCTCTGTTTTCTGAATGATTTTTTTCTGTTATAGTAATGAATCAATGGTGTATTTGAAGGAGAAAATTGGTATTCTTGAATATACCCATAATTGTAATGCTTAAGAAGACTAAATTTCTTCATTTTCTTCGCATTTTTCAGAGAAATTATGGGTTTTCTCATTTTTGCTAAGAAAATTGACATGTTTAGAAGATTTGAAACTTTCTGAAAAACAGGGGAACTTTTTTTAGGCATTTTTTTTTACTTTCTAAGTTCAAAATGTGAGAGAAACTTGAGATGAAAGCTCACTCAAGTGACTCTCACTTTTGAATTTGAAGAATGTTTCTTGTTTTGGAATTTATTTGTAGTGTTCTCTTGGGTACTGTGTAGAGCAATTTATTGGTGAAAAAAGGTGTTTTTATTTTCAAAGAGGTGAATGACAAAAATGGTCCCTTATATTTGAGGTTCGGTTTAAAATAGTCCCTTAAGTATATACTAAATAATTTCAATCCTTTATGTTTTAATGTTTTTACTCTCTATCAAATATATTGAAGGTATGTTTGATTTGACGAAAATTGGGAGGAACTCGAGATTCAATTTTTATTTACTTTTCACGTTTTCAAATCATCATAAATCATCTTCAGTGGCAGAGAATTTACTATTAATGAGATTCGAACACATAAACACTTTAAAGTTTGTGTGTCTTTGCTCTTTTAAGGCGCCTAAAATTACTGGGCTACATCATATTGTCGTGTCAAGGATGTCCAAAATATGTTATTTAACCACTTTATTTATTATTTTACTTATTATACGATATAATTTTTGGATGAAAGGTGTCCAATTGGACACTCTGACATGAGTGTAGTTACGCCACTAATCATTATCATTTGAAAATAGATGATTAATCATTTACTTTTCACCTTTCATGAATAGCTAAAAAGGCATTACCCTTAAACATAAAGGACTAATTTTGTCAAGTTTTTTTTTTAAGAATGTGGAAAGCTAGGCTGGAAAAAGGTTTGTGGTCGGTGTCAATTTGGATTTTATTATAGTGAAGTAGCCGTTAAAGAGCGGGTTCTCTCTGAGTTCCACTTTATTTTAAAAATGGGCTTTACGCGATATCAATTCAGATTAATCGCGTTCCACAGACATAAGACAAATATAATAAAAAAATAAAAGAAATTTTGATTCATTAGAATATATTTGGATCAAGTTAAAAAAAATTAATTTATTTTTCATGATTCTGATTTTAAATCAAGTGATTAAGAATATTTTTTATTTTACTTTAATGCAATACTATAAAAATACTTAAAAACTAATTTGTCTTTAAAATACTTAAAATAAATCAATTCAAATGGACTCATAGTTGCTATAATTTCGATTTTCAAATCTAGACTAATAAGAGTTATGGCGGAAATGATAGAATCTCTTTGCTCTTAACCGAATTTTGGAGTTTGAACGTAATGAAAAATATTTGTTACTAGAGAACACTTTTTTTCTCGGACCTTACGCGGTAGTAGCGGAGTTATGATTTCACTAATGAAAATTTTCACTGAGAGGGTTTGAAATCTGAAAAAGTAGACACACGGACTAACCGAAAGAGATTCAAATCTACAATATATACATAAAGTTTATTATTTTTTATCAATATAAAGGATTCGAATGAACCTCCTGACCACAAGGTGGCTCCGCCCAGAAAAGGAGGGAAAGATTTCCAAATCTGGAACAGAAAAATAGAATTTAAAATTAAAAGAAATTTCGATTTCCAAATCGGCAGCAGAAACAATAGAATATAAAATTAAAAGAAATTTCGATTCCTTTCTGATATTATTAATTGGTTATGTTTAGTACATGGAACAGAACAATTAAATACAGTTGTTTTACCTTCTAATCAAAGTTTTCTATTGCATTATTCTGCAAGAGATTCGTTTCAGATCCCAAATAAAATTACAATTTAATTATTTTTTCCTTGAATAATATTTTTCTAAAAAAGTTATGACTTTATTAATAATGAATATTAGTCATTTTAATTAGAACTGTCAATATGAATCAACGTAATTTAGTTGGGCTTAGCTTATAGAGATTTTGATATTTAACGATTTGAGTTGGGTCGGCCTAGGTTGTGGGTCGGGCCAACACACCTTTTCTAAAATAAAAATTATTTTTGATAAGAAAATGCTAACATAAATATTTTAGTAATGTTGGTCACATAGAGAATTTTTGTATTGGATTGTTGGTTAATACGATATCAAAATCATTACTATCATTAACGGTGTTAACTATGACTATCACCAACTATTACTATTGTCAACCACTACTGTCAATCGTTGTTATATTTGTCACCTTTATCATTGTAATTATATTCACTACCACCATCACCATTATCGACCAACATTAGCGTCACCAACCGCCAGACACAACCACCAACCACCTCTTTCTTTACAATCACATTGATAACCAGTTGCCAACCACTACAGTTAGTAGCTATAATATCTATCACCTCCATCATTATAATATATTCACGGCCACCATCAAACGTCATCATCCCCGCCACCTCCACCATTACTATCAATTATCTATCACCATTCGATCAATCCCTACTACCTACTACCTGCACCATCATAACTAGCACTGGTGCTAACTGCTAACTATCACCCAACACATCGCCAAACACCTTACATATTCTTCAACTAGCCACCACCATCAGTATCGCCAACAACCAGAGGCAGAATCAAGATTAGGAGTTTGGGGATTCACAAGCTAATATACATATATATATTTATTTAATTTTTCAATACAAATACAAGATCTATGGAAAAGCTAGTGGGTTCGTCTGAACCCACAAACCCCCACCTAACTTCGCCTCTACCAACAACTAACATCAATTAACTTCACCATCACAACTATCAACCGTCACCGTAACGCTAGTCGCTACGACACCAATTAAATTATACAAACAAATATCTAAGAATATATATTTAATTTAGTAAAGGCTAGCTATATATAGGGATTAGGTTTTTTCTAACTTTCTTTATCTTCAAACATTCTAAACTTTATAAGTCGTTTTCATTTGGGTAAGCAGTCCGTTGAAAAAATCGTTTCTAAAGAAATAATCACCTCATCATTAAACAATGATTAAATAATTTATTTTTAATACATACTATTTTTTACCTTTCTGAATTTGTGGTCAATTTTATATAATATACTTTTCCTTCGAGGGAAATTAAATCTTTTATCCACCAAACGTTTTACCAAATGTATATAATAATGGACATTACTTTTGTGTTTGACCATTTAATTAGAAATTGAGTATATTTTATTTTATTATATTAATGCACACTACTTTTGTGTTTGATCAATATTGTTTCTAAATATGTCTATCTCATGCACTATAGGATCGTAACTTGTGTCATTAATTTTTTTAAAATATATTAAAATCACAATTCTACCCTTGATATCTAGAAAGAAAAATTCTTCATCTTCTTCAGAATTTTGTGAAGAGTAAATTATTTTTCACCGCAAAATTATGATATTATTTTTAAATAAATCAATAAAGAAAGTATGTCTGATAAATCAAAATAAAAGAGTAATATTTATAATTGGTAATAACTTGCTTTGAAAATCGACGTCAAATCCCTAAGCTATAAGATCAACTTAGCAAGTTCTTATGAGATCTTGGCTTTTTAAAGAATCACATTTTCTATATCGTGACATTTTTAGCTTGAAAAACTACCAAATGACTTTTTGTTATTCTTTTAATAGTTTTAGCGATTCAAAGGTACGAGATGTATGTTGTTGGGGGAGAGGAAAGGGCACGGTTCCCTAGATTCCAACTAATTTCAGATCGAGATATACTGATAAGTAGATATTTATTTACCTATATATGACTTGTTTTTCATAACGTATGTAGTACATGTGATTGGACATATAAACTAATTAAATTACACTTTATTTTCGTAAAAAACTTTCCACATTTATATCTAATTCAATTCAATTTTTGAAACATTTATATCTAATTCATTTCAATTTTTGAAACGTGTGGTACTTTATTTGAGTTATTCAAACATAAGGTATAAAGAATATAAGCTAAGGAAATAAATTGAGGCAGTTTAGTTATAATTAAAATGAGATAGAAAAGTCATCCAAAAGCTTAAGGGTTTGACTATTAACAAATTTTTTTAACAGTTTCAAACAAAACACAAGTTAAAATTATATAATGGAGAGTAATGTAGCGTTCTCTAACAAAGACGACTTTGTACTCAGGGGGATTACTTGAACCCGAATTTCTAGTTAAGGATAAATGAGTACTTACCACTCCACCACAATCCTTATTGTTATCATATTTAGTCTTGAACCAACATCTAAATGCTATAATATCAGAAGATTCTTATCAAAATCGATCTTGATCATCTATACTATATAAACTATTAATTTAAAATTTGAGTGACTTTATTGATACAAAACTAACTTACAGTGATTTTACTAATAATTTTACTTGAAAAACTAAGCTGATTTTTTTTTGTCATGTATTGCCCTGAACCAACACAAAATAATACAATACCAAAAGATTCATATCAAAATAATCCGACCCGATAATCAAAATCGATTTTGAGCATCTACAATATATAAATATTGATATTAAAATTTAAGCAACTTTAGTGATATAAAACTAACTATAAATATTTTAATATCTTAAATCGCACTAGGCAAGCCTTATGCGACATGCTCGACTCAGAAGGCATTGAGAGGGGATCGATCCCGAGTCATCCATGTGGATAATCACCCTCCAAACCAACTGAGTCATCCCGAAGAACTACCTCTATCTTATGGTGTTCATATTATGAAATATGTTGGATCTTAGAGACCCAATTTGCTCTCATATTTATTTTAAATTTGTATTCACTAATCCCATATTTTAAATTGCCATGTGATTTGATCGATTATATAAATACAATTGCTTATTTCAATTTTAAGTAATTTAATTTAGAAAATGATAAATCCTCTTTCATGTCTTACACTTGACTATTTTCTATTTTAACGTATGTTACAATAATATTAATTTTTTTATCCCTTAATTATTATTTTTTTATAATTAAGTAACTTTTCATTAATCACTGAAGTGATCAGACCAACACTATCTGCTCAGTCACACTCATTTATCTCTTAAATATAAACTACAAACGACAAAACTGATTAAACTAATATGTATTACAAAATCTCCATAACTAATATTTACACTAAGCAAAACTTTAATATAGCCTTCTTTTAATCCAAATAGTATGGATTAATACAGCATATATTAATTTGAGTAATTTACACCGGTGACTCCTTCCTTTGGTATTTGGTATGCATTCATCTATCAAATATTAAGGACGAATATAGTATGATAGATATCAAATATTATATTGAAATCGATATTCTTGATTTTATAGTTTCGATATTATAATATTTGTTATACATTCTTAAAAAATTTGAAATACTGAGTATCCAATTGAATTATATATAGTTACATATAAATTCATACTACTAGCAAATAAATAAAATGATATTAGTTCAAAAATATAATTATTTAGACATTTGAACTTTGACTATTCTATTTATCTTAATTGAAATATCTTTTTGAAATGATTGATTAGTCGAAGGGAATTGCTTAGACTTTCTTCTCAATAATTATATATGTGCAAGGCTACATACGATATAATTGAGAAATCCCAACTTCCAGATATTAAAGAATCATTTTCTCAATATTTCAAGGACCAAAATGAATTTCTTGTAATGATTTGTGGATTGAAAATACAAATTTCAGAAAACAAAATAAAAAAAATAAAATTGGGCGTATTGCCTAGTGGTATTACAATTTGGCAAAAAAAAAAGATTACATATTTGCCCAACAAAATAAAAGATTTGAATTTGACGCAAATTATTTGTTTCCTTTTTGAACTAGCTAGTGATAGTCTTAAAAATATTATCTACTATAATAACAAAACATAATCGACCCTTGATTTGCCACATGTTCCAACAAGTGGTCTCAAACTCTTATAGGAGTATAAGACTCTTAGGAGTCGTTTGGTGTGAGGGATAATACCAAATAGTCCCGGGATTAAATTATAGTACCGCTTATTTTGTTGTTTGGTTGGCAAGTTCGGAATAACTTATCCCGTGATTAATAATTAGTACCGGGATAAGTTATCCCTAACCTAGGGTGGTATAGTAGTCCCAGGATAACTTATCCTGGGATAAAATAGGTAAATGACAAAAATGTCTCTTTCAACCCTTTTGTTATATCACTTTTTACATTAATGAAGGGCATTTTGTAAACAAATAAATTGTTCTTAAAATTTTTGAATACAACAAACCAAACACTCAATAAAAATAATCCCAACACAACTTATCCCATCATAACTCATTTTCAAACCAAACGACCCCTTAATAAAACGCCGAGAGAAAGGTTGAAAATACTCCTAAACTTAGCGAGAATTTAGTAATCGGTAGGATGACAATGGGGAGGGGCGGGGCGGGGCGAGGCGGGTTTAAGATTGTGCGGGGTGGGAGGGATGCGTGATGGGTTGAAGTGAGTTTTAAAACGGATATATGCAATTTTATGTGAGTTCAACTTAATTTTAACTTTTTACATGTTATAAGAGTGATAGCAAGATAGTAAATGAAAATGTTCAATAAAAAATAATAGGAAAAAGGTACAAGTACCCCCCAAACTATGACCGAAATCTCAGAGACACATTTTAACTAAACTAAGGTCCTATTATCCCTATAAACCCTTTTTTTTTGGTAATTTTGTGCACCTTTTTGGCTTACGTGGCATCCAAATATCTCCCCCACGCCTCAATTGCGTGGAGTCACGAAATGTGCCACGTAAGACAAAAGGTGTACAAATTACAAAAAAATAAGTTTAGGGATAATAGGACCTTAGTTTAGTTAAGGTGTGTCTCTGAGATTTCAATTATAGCCTAGGAGGTACTTATGCCTTTTTCCAAAATAATATAATTTCTTACATGTTTTCCAATTGACCTCTAAAATATAAATTTCAAGTCACTATCTATTCAATTAATACAACTTAATGAAAAAATAAACTTTTTTTTAATGAATTTTATTTAGCATCAAACTTAACTAGAAAAAAAAGAAAATATAAAACAAATTATGCGGGGTGGGGTAAATTAAAAAAATTGCGGGTTAAGCTCAATCCGTCCCGCACCGCGCCATTGTCATCCCTGATAATCGGGGTGTATTTAAGTTCAGTTTGTCAACTAAATAAATATTTTTAAGGCTGTCAATAGTTCGAAGGTAAAACTAATAATTTTAGTAGAATTAAAAAATAAAAATAAAAAAAGGACAGAAACGACGTCGTAATATGGGTAACCCTCGAAATATAAATTGCAGACGTCACTCCACCGTGCACTTTAGCACCTACAATTTTTCAGAACCTGAACGTTAAAATCGCCTCTTCTCTCTCTACCTCTCTCCCGTTTGGCCGATATATATATATATATTTACATTCCCGGCGATTTCACGTAAACTCAGCTAAACACAACACACAAAGAAGAAAAAAGTTCAAATCTTGAATTTTTTTTCGAAGAATATGAACCCCATTTGCTTTAATATTGAGCAGAGTACAGAATTATAAGGAAAAGAAACAAAGATTTGATTTTTAGCTTGTGGGTGTTGTGATTTTGATGGTTTTAAACTGATATTGAAGATTTGGAAGTGTTTATATGGCGATGGGACCTGAAAGATCGAAACCTTTACATAATTTTTCTTTACCATGTGGGCTGAAGTGGGGTAATCAGAAGTTCTTAAGGTGCGTTAAGGAAGATTCCGATGAAGAAATGTCAAGGTCGGAATTGATCGGACGGCGGAGGGAAACAGGGGTGGTGGAACGGCACCGGACGAAATTCAGATCGGTGAACGGAGATAGTGGTGAGGGAATTGAAGCTGTGAGAGAGAAACTGATGATTGATCTTCAAACAGAAGCTGATAAGATGAAAGACGCGATTTTACGGGAAGGATTAGATTCTCCGGCACCGGTGCCGGCGACGACGAATGTGAAAGTAGATGTATCTGATGCAGCCGCCGTCGGCGACTTATCCAGGCCATGGAGCTTGAGGACTCGGCGTGCGGCTTGTAACGAGCCGAACGGGGTCCTCGCCGGCGCCGGAGCTGGTGGAAGTGGTGGATCGAAGGAAATGAACGGTTTGCCGCCATTAAAGACGGAGAATAACAAATCTTCAAGATTTCGAAGTGAATTTTCCGGTGGAGTGACCGCCGGAGCTTCTTGTAGCGGCGAGAAGAGACAGAGGGTGAAATATTCCGTTCCCCTTTCACGAAAAGAGATCGAAGAAGATTTCATGGCGATGATCGGACATAGACCCCCTCGTAGACCCAGAAAACGAGCTAAATTGGTTCAAAAAAATTTGGACGTAAGTTTTGATTTATGATAAATTTCTTAAATTCATATAGTCGATCACAACTCATTTTGAATTAAATGTATGATTGTACAACAATTCACCTGTGAAATTATATTGAATATGTTATTTGATTGATCGTACTTTTGCAGACGCTATTTCCGGGATTATGGTTGACGGAAATTACAGCTGACTTATACAAAGTGCCTGAAGATCAGTAGATTTGAAGAAAAGATCATTTTTTTGTGATATCAATGGTAAATTTTATTATGATGGAACAACTATAGTTTGGAAATTTGATGAAATTATTGAATTTCTTGTATAACAGAAAAGGGTGTAAAAAAAAATGCAATTTTGTTATTTATTCTTATCTTTTGTGTTTATGCTCATTGGTTTAAGTTTATAACATAGTTGTTGATGTTATTGGATTGCACTGAATTAATTGTTCAAAGTTACATTTTGATTTTTATTTTATATTTGTCAAGTAAGTTGGCTGCTTTTGCTTTCTTCTTTTCTTGATAACAAAGACAATTTCTCTGGGCATTGTCTTTCTGAAAGTGCAGTGTGTAGTGTTCTTTATGTTTGCCTATATTTCTCCTATATGGGATGTAGCTGAGTTGAGCCAGATAGGATCGAGGAGTTCATCTGAGTCTTTTCGTAGAAAATTACACTGTTTATATATATAGTTAAAAGTAATAGATATTTGAATTTTATTTGACTTCTCTATGTATTTACTTTTTATATTTTGAATCCTTGCTGAAAATTTTAGCCCGACACGGTGTTAGAGCATGTCATATTCAAAGGACTCGTGTTCGAGATGTGGGTATGAAGAATTCTTGATAGAGAACATTTTCCTTCATATGGGTCCTATGGTGCACAAACTTCAATACAAATATCAACTATTGAATAAAAATAATAATAATTTAAAACCCTTAGCTAGGAATTGGGTGCTTACCATCCGAGCATAGTGTCTTGCAATTTCTTTAGATAACTCATTGTAACATGTTCAACATCAATTCTCGACTCCCTTGTTTTCATATGAATGATTCTCTTATTATTCCATTTGTTTCATTTTATATAAATACACATATTTGAGCAGGCACTAAACTTAATTAATTAAAATAAAATTTTGATATAACCAACAAATATAGATAAATTATCTGTTTAGACAAGTGAGCTTTTTAATCACCTCTATTTATAAATATAATATAACTATAATAAATTTTGGGTTTCGATACGAAGAAAAATATCTTCCTAAAAAAAAGATCCGCATGGTTTTCTTTCATTTCTCTACTCTTTATATGTAATGAATTTTGGGTGTGTTCGGTATGAAGGAAAAACATTTTTTTTTAAAATAATTGAAATTATCTTTTAATGTTCAATAAGTAATTAAAAAAAAATTATTATCCCAAAAATATTTAAATATAATGTAGCCATCGATATTGTCTAGGCACATTGGACATGTTGACGGTTCTAATCAAATTTTAAAAATCTATATGAGTTAGCCCGAATGAAGTGGATCAATCTTTGTTGACAACTCTAAGGGGTCATTTGGTTTGAATTCAAGTTATGATGGGATTAATTATGATGAGATTATTTTTTATTGAGTGTTTGGTTTGTTGTATTCAAAATAGTAAATTTTAAGAACAATTTATTTGTTTACAAAAATATCCTTCATGAATGTAAAAAGTGATGTAACAAAAAGGTTGAAAGAGACATTTTTGTCATGTGCTTATTTTATCCCGAATAAGTTATCCCGAGATTACTATACCACCCAAAGGGTGAGATAACTTATCTCGGTACTAATTATTAATCCCGGGATAGGTTATCCTGAACTTGCCAACCAAACAACAAATTAAGTGGTACTATAATTTAATCCCAAAACTATTTGGTATTATTCTTCACACCAAACGACCCATAATAGAATACATCCTTTATATATTAAATGAACCCCAATAAATGATGCATTTAAGGGTAAAATAGGCAATGGTAATTTAATTAGTTTTAAAAGTAAGAAAGATACAAAAAGAATACTATCTTTGAAATATCAATATTACTCATTAGTCATTGCTCTATTCTAAGATCCAGTAATACACATACCTTGAGGTTGGTGTAATTTTAGATCAAGTCCCTGCAATTATAAACTTTATACGAAGTGTAATCTGGTAATAAACGATTTTTTTTTTTTACTATAGTCTATTAAATTTCATTAAATTTTAAGTATTGGACGTATAACATGCGAGCTTTTGAGCTTCAAATTCAAATATGAAATTGTTGGTGCGTATTACCTAGTTTCTAAAGATAATATTTTTTTCTGAATGGATTGGTCGGGTATATATTTATGAGTTGATCTAATAACAATATGAATCAATAAATTATTATCACTTATTTCATCGAAATCACATCCATGTCATCTTATAATTTTCTTAAAAAGAGAAGCGACTTTGTATAACAATTGGGGTGATTTAATGCCTTTAAAAAATAGGCATACGCTTTAAGTCCCAAAATTTGAAGGACTCAATTTTTTAGTAATAATAAAATTATTATAAGTTTTTTTAAACAAAAAAAGAATATACTATATTTTTTTAATTTATTCATCTTTTTTAGTTTGTTTCAAAACATTAAAAAATATTTATTTTTTTGGATCAATTTTTAAATTTAACTTTCACATGATAAGTTTAAGACCACAAGATTAAAAAATATTTTGGAAGAAATAATTTTTTTTATTAAAAAGAAAGAAATAACTTTGAATCTCAGAAATTTAAAAATAATTAAAAGTTAAGCCTCTGATTTATTTTTAATTAGGTCACTAATTAGTTTGAGCCGTCATTGTATAACAAGCGAACTTTTTATCCTCAATTTTTAATATGTGATTGCTAGTGCATAGCTACATATAACCTAAATTCTATCGGTAAATTTTTGACCAATAATCTGAATATATATATATTAAGTTTCATCCAAATCGTAAGAATACAAAGTTGAACGATGACTTTGTGTTTGCAGATGACTTGATGTTGTCTTGCAAAGGAGATATAAAGTCTATCACAAAATTGATGGAGGTCCTAAATCATTTCACTAGAAAGCGAGAAATTGAAAGAGTATAAATTATGTGTATACATGATTTGTATATGAAAAAAATTGTACACAACAAAAAGTTGTATATGAAAAGCAATCAAGATATATGGATGCATATACGCACGTGATACACTAGTTGTACATGAGAAAGATGAAATGGCTCGTATTGTTTGTTTGACTATGAGACTTATTTAAGAGTGTAAGTTATAACGATCTATTAAAAAGACCGTAGAGGGTACATGAAGCTAGGCTAATGTAAAATTTAGTCATGTTGCCTAGAGATAGATTTATTGTCTGGCTCACCAATAAATAAAAAACTGTTAATTTAAAAGAGGATGATCAGACTTAATATACAAACATATGATGACATTTGCTACTTGTGTGAGGACAATAAAGTTGAATCTTCACTACACCTATTTTTCGAATGTAGTTCGGTAACCAGTCTGAAGGACAAATTGAGAATCTGAATCAGCATCAGGGGATACAATAGAATGAGGCGCCCAATGTTTAAGATGGATCAAAGATAGACATTTAAAATAGTTCAAAAAAGAATTGACAACTACAATATCGGGTGTTAGGATATACCACACATACAAAGCGAGAAATTGAAAGTAGTTGAGAGACAATTACATATACAAAGATGTCTTTACATAGATTAAGAAGAAAATTATTGAAAAAGTAGATTATTTTAAAATAATCTAAGAAAGTAAGTAGATGTAGATACTTGAATCAGTAGTTTTGTAACTAGTGATTCTATTTTGTTCGAGGCTATGGAATTAGAGCGCATGAAATGACTTAAATATATATCTGGAGTGCTCGTTGGATATAATTGTTTGGTTATTATGGTAATTCTTCACTGCTTACCAAAAGAAAAATTCAAATATGTGACCGTTAGTGCATTACCTAAATTCTACGGTCAATATGTTTTATGAATGAATCGGATCATTACAAATCGAGTCTAGTAACAAGGTAAATCAATTAATCAATACATCTCCTTAATTGAAATTACATATATGCCCTCTTATATAACTCCGTCAAAGAAGAGAAATAACTTGGTATAACAACGAGCTCTTTACCGTCAAATCCAAACATGTGACCGTTTAGTGCATATTACCTAAATCTTAATAGAAAATAATTTCCTTAAATTTAAGCATGTGACCATTAGAGACCACGAGTTTGAACCCGGAAAATAGATTTCAAAAATGAACCTCGTGATACACAAACATTTTATTTCAAATATTTATTTTCTACATAATAATAAACTATACTAGTCACAAAAATTCACAACAATTCATAAAAAAAATATTTAAAAAATAATAATTTGGTGAGAAATAAGATATTATTAGATAAAAACGAAATATATTTTGAGGAACCCTCAATCCACCGTGCACTGTAGCACCTACTCTGTTCTGAACCCAAACGTTAAAACCGCCCCTTCTCTCTCTGGCTACCTCATATATATATATATACACTCTATACGTAAACTAATCCAACATAAATGTAAAGAAAAATGGCAAAAAACATTGAAAGATTAACAATTCTATGAAACCCCTTTTTCAGTTCTTCTTCTCTCAAGTTTTTCTTCACAAAATCTTGAAATTAAAGTGAAAAAGGAAGGGGAACTTTGAGTCATTTTCTGGTCTGTTTGGTTAGCGAGGGTAGAAATTTTGGGATTTTGGGCTTGTGGGTGTGTGTAATTGGAATAAGTTTAGACATTTGGATTGAGTGTTTGATGACTATGGGACCAGAAAGATCGAAACCTCTGCACAATTTCACCTTACCTTATGGGTTGAAGTGGGGGAACCAGAGGCATTTGAGGTGTGCGAAGGTGGAATCCAATGGAGAAATCTCTTCTGTTCATCGGAGGTCAAATGGGTCTGAGTCGATCGGACGCAGGATGGAGACGGAGAGGGAAATGGTGGACCGGCGTGGATCAAACGATCGGTTTACCCGGAAATTCAGGTCGCCGGGAAAAGAGGATGATGGTGAGGGAATCGGAGCTGTGAGAGAGAAGCTGATGTTTGATCTCTTAACAGAAGCTGATAAGATGAAAGAAACAATCTTCAAAGAAGGTATGGATGAACAACCCAAGAAGTTTCCATCGCCGGCGCCGGCGCCGGCGACAACTA